GTTTTGGACGCGGCGCTGTCAGCCCGGCCCCCGGGGGCAGCTCCGAGTCGGGACGGGCCGCGGTGGCCGGGGCGCCGCCCGCGAGCCTGCTGACGGTAACAGCGGCCCCGGAAAGGGGGAGAGAGGATCGCTGCCTGCCACTTGGTAATTGAAATTTGATGGGTAAACTAATTACACCGTTATTAACAAATAAATGACTTATTAATCCCACCTAATGTTGATCTTTTGGAGTAAATCCCGACGCCTCGCTGGTACCGGGTCCCTGCCCTGCCCCGAGGACCAGGCAGACGCACACCTGGTACCTTCCCGCCGAGAGGAAGCGCCCGGAGCTGGAAGAGCCACCACCCCAAAGGCTTCCGCAGTGGCACCCACGGCAGGGGCTTTTTTTTTTTTTTCCCGGCTGCTGCACCTTATTTGATTTTTCAAAGAGCAGTATAAACAGCCTTCTCGCAACTGAGTCTGGAAGGCAGACAAGGAAAGTTATAGCCGAAGCCTGGAGACACTTCAAAAGGAACGTCAGTTCTATCTTCATTTATATCGCTTACTCCTATGAGTTACTAAATGCTGGGATATCCATTTGATGGATAGTCGCTTAATGCTTAGCCACATAAAGCCTATTATATGGGACTAATCTTTAAACTAATTTAGGGAAAGAGGTTTAAACAGGGATCATGTTAGCTTTTTTTTTTTTAACTGGAATCACCCTGAAGTGGTACAAAGAGGTTTTCCACATTGGCTGTGTGTCTGTGAAGAGTGCTGTCCATCCATGTGGGGCACCCTGAATCTTTTTCTTTTTTTTTTTTTAAATGAAATCTGAGTCACAGACAGAAATCAGTGCTGAATGTAATCTTTAAATATCCTCTCTAGATTCAGGGGGGAAATCTAGCCTGTGACACAGATGCCTAAACCAACATCTCTCAACAGTAAGAAAAAATAATACATATATACCGAATATATAATCTGGACAATATATACATAATGTAATTGACCAAACTGGGCTCTTTAGGCTTATGGGGGGGAAAGAACATGACAAGGAAATTTGCCGTCATCCTCATGTCATCAGCATTGAGTACTAGGGTCTTAACCACGTTTGTTTAGTATTATTTACAGACATCAAAACACAAAATTCATGTTGTTTAGCCTCAGAACCTCCTACTGGGTTTCTATTTTAAAGCATTAACAAGGCATGGGCCCTGTTTTGTATATGGTTAGCCTAAACGAGTGAACTGCGCTGTTTCATGTGGTTCTATTACTTCAGGAAGATGGGCTTACACAGAATCCCCCAAGGCCTGTAACTTGTCTTTGTGGTTCCTATCATAAACACAAACGGAGCCAGGACCACCAAGTGTTATCTCACACACCGACATTTTGACATTTTACTGCAAGATTTATGGCTGTAATAAACAATCTCAGTACCTTTTCTGATCCTTCCACAATCTCTCTGTGCAAGCCACAACATCATTCCACTGAATCAAATAATCTTTTGAAAAACATTAAAAAAGCAACAACTCTTGCCTTTACATAAGATCCAAGACACCAAAGTCAAGCCAGAAAGAGAAACTTAATTAATAAATAAACTGAAGTTTACCAGCAGCATCTCGCCCGAGAAAAAGATGGGATGCTCTGAAATGGAGCAGAGAGGGAGTGTGCTGATCTTCGCACACCAACTGGCTCCAGTCCCAAGCAGGGTGAAAGCAGTTATCCTTTTCTTGGGAAACTGGTGAGCACATTTGCTCATTTCCACGTGCAGGGATAACAGATATTCCCAACAAAAGCTTTCTTAAAATCCCATTAAGTGAAATAACTTTTCATCATCTCCTCGAATCCCAGATGGAGAAGGAGAGCGGAGGGAGGCCAAGGGAGAGGGCGGGCGGGCGAGAGGAAGACAGCGTTTGCAGCCTAGTTTGAATCTGTTTGAATCATTTTGAATATATTTGGAATAGCCTTCGCTCTTGAATGCAACCCTGTCCCAAGATTCAAAGTGACCGAACAGTGACACCGTGTGCATTTTGTTTCTTATTAATCTTACACATTGACAGTCTTTGTTAAATCACAAGGCGCGCCCTTCACCAGCCGACATTTTCATATTTGTTAGACGCGCTGACCTGAAGTTCACCTCGGCCTTGGACTTTGCGCTTCTAAAAGGTCTATACAGTGTCTTTTAGAGAGCAGGGTCTTTGCCCAGGTCACTCCTTCTCAGGGAAAACCAAGGGGGGAAAAGCAAAGGAAATGTAAACCTTATGGAATGTATTGACTGTATTTGTCCTTTGTTCTTTTGAGCGAGAGTCCCCCAGACTGACTGCTCTGTATCTGAAGCACTTCTCCAGAGGAGCGCAGGCGAGAATGGCTGAATTTCAAGAAGCCTGATGGTGGCATTTGAGGGCTTTCTCCCACCTATCCTAGGCGTATGATTTTAGAGAAGCAATACTTTATCAGCCATTTGACCAGTTAATTGTTCGGGGGTAATTTCCTTGCAGTAGTTTAGAGTAATGAACATGACCCAGGCATAAAGACTGAAATTTATACTCACATTTCTATATGAATTTTCACCAGGATTGTGTAAGAGGCCTAAAAATCAAAATTCTTGCAATAAAAAACGCACTCTGAAAGCAGTAACTTCTACAGGTACCTTTCTCTTTTGCTTTAAAAACTGGCGAAGAGGTGTCTACGATTATTGAAGCTGACATGTTTCTAAGGCGTGGAAGATTTTTAACCAATAAAACAATAACAAGTTTTTCTCAAAGGGACACATAATTGTCTCGGTGAGTAATAGCGGGGGGTTTCAGTTTTCTTCATTTTGCTAGCCCAGATGTGGGGAAGTGTTCACTGCTGTAACAGCAATCACCACAGTTGTTCCCTTTCTTGTTTTCATCTGGCACACCCCCATTTGGCTTCAAGCTCTTGGCCAGAGCAAAAACTTTACACATCCCATAGTGGAAGCAATCTGATTACTTCCACGAAGGCACTGTTTGGGAAATATTTACCAGCGATGGTGCCTGGCACCCACAAATCCAACCAACCAGAATATATTGGGATGATCTTAAACATCCCTGCAAGAGTCTACATTCCGAGTAGTTGAATTAACTCATCTCTATAGTTTAAAAGAAAAACCTAGGAAAAAATTTCATCTTTCTCTTCTCTGCTCCCCAACAATGATTACTTAAGGATCAATACATGGAAAAGGAAGATATGTCCCCCAGAAAATAGATTCTAATGGCACCAACACTTACAGCTAATATCGGTACATAAAAAAAAGAAATATTGTCTAGCTCTCCAGTTGCAACTCACACACGAGGGAGGCATGGTTCCAGTCGGCTTCCTTAACACACTGTTCCCTTTCTTTCCCCATTCTCCCACCCTTCCTCCTTAGCTTGCTTTCCCTCTCCTTAGCTTTTATCCCAAATGTGTTTTTAAAGACTATTTTCTGGAGAACAGAAGTCTGTCACGATGCTCTGGCATTTGTGGATTCCACCTTCCTGCTCAAAATGGCATATTCTTTACAGGGTAGCTATTCACTTACAGATTATAGCATTTCTCTTACATTCAATGTAGGGTTAACAATAAACATAATGAAAATTTTCCAACAACAGGATCATTTTCATGGTACCAATAAGCATTTTCTCTCTGGTGGAGGGGGTGGAGGGATCCTGTCCCTTTGGGGGAGGGTTTCCGTTTCCTTCCCCCTCTCCCCAGCTCTAAGAATTGCATTTAGTGGGTGGCAGTTTCAGCAAAAGCATGCTGCGTTTGAAAATCGCTAAGAATACATTTTGCAAGTAGCTCCAGTGTTTGCCCTTGCTCTCGCACACTTTAGGGATCATTAAGGGTACTAAAAAGAGAGAAATGGCAAACCCAAAATCACCATTTTCAAATAAAGGAAGTTTCCTGCTGGTTCTCCTGCCTTTCAAGGTACCACGGAGCATTGGAAACTTGCTACGTTATTTCTTAAAGGTCCACTGATGAGTTCTGAGCTTTTTAATTTTGTGACACGCACACAGACTCCTGGTTCTCCCACATCTGAGGTGTTGGGTTTTCGGTAATCTAAGCCTATTTACCTGCCGCTACTCTCTCAGAATGGGGGCGATAATTCAAGATGAAATACAGCATGTATTACTCTCGAAAAGGAATCTTCTATCCTTTTGTCCGTAATTGAGGTCACTCAACCACTAGGGTTCACCTGGAGTCCAGACCGTGATACACGCGTCACTCGGAGCCGTTTTATCTTTTGTGCTGATAGTCAAGATCGCAGCTCTAACATTGACATCAAACTCTGTCTGGGCAGATGACTGAGAGTGCTGCACAACGTAAACTTTTGACCCTCAACTTTTTGACCTGCAGTTGCAACGCACTAGCCACAAAGATATACAAAGCTGTGCCTTTTCTTTCAGGGGGAAGGCCCCCCCCCCAGGATCTCAGGGACGCCCTGCTTCTGCCACAGCCTTTTAGAATAAGAGGGCACACTGGATATTTCTGTGTGTTTGTGACTGTATCTCTTGCCAAATCAGCCTCCTACCTCTTTTTGTCAGCGCTTAAAATAGGAAAGAGATGATTTTGAAATCACTCATCATTACATTTACAAAGGAAATTGGGAGTAGGGTGGGGGAACCTCACAAATAGCAAAAGAGAGAAGAAAAAAAAAGGTGGGGGAAAGCAGGTAATGGAAGTTGGAGACATGTTTTTTTTTCTTTATTTAAAAATAAAGACGCAGCCCTAATTGTTGGGCGAGCTGGCCCAGGCAGGCGAGTTGACTGTGAACTTGTACTAAAGCGTGCTCTGCTGGCGATTCCTAGGGTGTGCAGATTTATCTTCTCTGCATTTACTTAACCCGGCAGTGAACTGCGCGGGCGTCATTTGTTAGGTGATGACAGACTTCACCTCTAGCAAGGGCTGCTTCACAAAATCACAATAATTACCCAATAACCTTCATAACAAATATTATTATTGAAAAGACTGGTTTGTGGGGAGGGGATATGGTGGGAGAAGGAAGCTTTCTTTGTGAAAGACACTAAACAAAACAAACCTAGGCAAGTCTTCCAGTTCTGGGGCTTTGAATGGCTAGGACTGAGGCGCCCCACTCCTATGTGGGCGGGAGCCTAGGCTGACCCCCTTAGCCCTGTCTGGAAGCCCCATTTATAGTTTTGTCATTGACTAGAAAGAAATTCTGCCCTAGAAGCCAAAGGGATAGAGCCGTACAGTTCTGCACTCTCCATGGTGGGCAAACTAGGACAGACTCCCAAGCTAAGGCGGGGAGAGACTTCCAAAGGCACCTTTTAAGCCTAAAGGATTGTTTTCCTCTTTAATAGCCCAACTTTAAGGATGTAATTTGCTCTCCCCTCACTAATTGTTTGGATATAATACTCTTCACATCTCAACAAATGAACATGACTCTGTTTCTGGTAGAAAATTCTGCCTTGCTCTCCCAGAGCCGCCAACAATGAAGAGGGGAGAGAGCAGAAGAAAAGGGATCTTGGCATAATGTTGTGAAATTAGACCATGGAAACCCTAACAAACCCCTAAGTGAGTGTGACCAGAAGCTTCCTATTATATTTATAGTTCAGGAAATATTGTCCCTTTGGCTTGTAGAAACAAACGGGGCCCTGCACATTTCGGACACCTCCTTTTACAAGACAAGGAACACAGACAGACACTTCTGCCACAGGCTGAGGCTGGATGTCTTCATAAAGCTCTCAGTGACAGGTATTTTCTTTCTAAGTAAGTTTCTCTGCAAAAACAACCCAAAAGAATGCACAAGAAATAACTTATCTACAAAATGAGCAGATAACCAGCCATCCTCTTTCCTATGCTTCCTGTGAAAATAGGAAGAAAGAAAAAATTCCTCCAGTAAGGCTCACATGGGTCTGACTGGATGCTGTATTTTTTTTTAAAGTCATTTAACTCCACATGAGTTAAGGCCTGCTCCTTAAACTCTAAAGTTTTATGAAGATTACAACAGACAGAAATAAGCCAGCTGACAATATTTATAGCCTCTTATTCCTTTAAATCATGGGAAAGTTTCTCTATATTGTGTGATGCTGGATATGGGTCCAACAGCCTTTCTGCCCATTCCCACACCCCAGGGTGGGATGTGGCCATGGAGGTGGTGTGGCCACTTCCTCCAGGCAAGTTAGTCAAGTGAGTCTGCCAGCAGCCCTATCACTCTCTTTTCTGCTACTAATTTTAGTCACCAAGAAATCACTCAAGCAAGATCACCCAGTGAGCAACTAAAATAAAACCTTCACCCAGTCTTTTCCAAGAAAGAACCCAAAAACTCAGAGCAGCAAAACAAAGACTCCAGAATTCTTACAGACACTTAAAATAATACAAAAGAACCCAAAGAGAGTTTCTATTCTGGTTTCCACCAAGGTGCAGGCACATTTTCCTGAGTACCGAAATAGCAATGCTCACTTTTTAACAGGTTACAAAAAAATGACTTCAGGGATCTGCCTTGCCACTCACTGTTCAAGAGAAGTGGGACTTGTGGGAGGGTTTCGATATTTTCAGGAAACTTCCCAGGTTTTGCTTTCTGGACCTCTGACTTTGGGAACATCTGTTGGACTCATATTGAGTATAAGTGGCCTGTGCACAATCAAGTATGCTGAAACTCCAAATCTACACTTTAAATGTTTTCACTTTAGGCACTTAGTAAATATCTTTACCAATTAGAACTTGCAGAAAGTTACCCCCTTTCCTAAGGAGAAAAGCATTTGGAGACAGAAGATCCCATTTTTTTTGTTTCATTTCTAAGTTGGAGAATTTGGCTTAATTCCTCAGCTGGGATAGGGGGAAATCCGCTAGGTCCCATGTGGGTACCCATCCAGAGAAATACCCCAGGACAGGCCCCAGCGCCCCAGCCACCGCTCTGCCACTGAAGAGTGTGGGGGGTTGAGGCCAGAGGGGGTGGGTGGCTGAGGCCAAGCTGGAATTGTACCTAGGAAAAGTTTATTTCGCCTTACTTCACCCGTTGGTGCAATATTGGGGACTGTTTTGGAAATCATAGATTATGTAAATTTCCTGGGATCAAACAGTAAGAGCAGCTAACAAAAGAAAGGCGGAAATCTCCTACTGACAAACGACCAATTTCTTCCCTCAACTACCCTTTATGACGTGTCAGGGAAAACAACCTAATGGCTCTGGGGACTTTTAAGTTGGGTGTTGAGGACACCTCCGTTTCCCCCCAAACTTTAGGGCACAGTTTGGAAGAATCCCCCCTGTATGTTTGAGGGGGAGTCGGTTTCTCTAGTCTTCAGTGTTCTCTAGGGGGACGCCTAAGCTCCTGTAGAGGGTCCTGTGCCTAGATGATTTAATTCTACAAAAGAGGAGAGAAAGGGAAAGAAGCGAGAAGAAAGGCCAGGCGGGAGAAAAGAAAGCGCTGGCGCTCCTCTCAGTTAGCCTGGGGATTCAAAGCCTCAAGTTAAATCCGGCCATAAAGTTTATTGCTTCAGACTCGCAGGCGGGTGAGAACAGTCCCACCGAAATAAAGAGGTGCAGGCCAGCAAGGTTCAGGGCCTGGCCCCGGGTGCGGGGAGGGGGTGGGAGCCCTCCCCGCAGATGGGGGGACCCGCGGTCCCCCGCGCGCCGTGGCCGGCCTGGCA